TGCATGCTTTTCTGGCCATTCCAACCCACAATGCTCTTTGCAGTAGAAGACATGTCACACTGACTGAGTCCCACATAGGTGCAGCTCGCGCTACAGACTGCAAGCGGGTCACAGTACAAGGTGCAATGTTATCACAAAGTAGTATGTCCACATTGTATGCATACTCAATGCAACAATACATACTCTGTAAGAGCAGCTGCTGTACATACTGAAAGTAAAAGAAAAAGTATGCGATTCAGAGCGCAGCGTTTGTCTTTCTGGGCCTTCCAGGCGCTGCTGAATGATCCATAACCAGTTTACTAGAGCTGAGCATCTCTGCCTTTCAGCAACATACCCTCCTGAATCCTCCATTCCCAAACAGTGATATTGCCAGCGGTACTCACAGAACGGGAGCTTCCTTTATCTCTGACTCATATTTTCACATTTCATTATGCTGCCTCTTTTCCCCATAGCCATTTTTTACTAGACGCACACTTACTGCTGAATTGTTAGCAAAACTGAGCTTACGTTTCCTCATTTAAAAGGGAGATTTTTCCAAAGCTGACAAATCTCTTCACACTCTACAATATCTCACTCCACATTCAGTTTTGCTTTAATTTAGCTATACTAGCACCATTATCCCGGGGCCACTACAAAAGCAAAACAAAGCAGATATCCACTAGTTTCTCCCTCTCTTTCAATCTCTCGCTCTTCTATTTCTGTGTATTTCTGTCAACCCTCTTCTGACAGCCCCTCCCTCCTGAAGGCAATCCAACAATGTCCTGCTCATTGATCAGTGAGAGGATCGGTGCAGGGTGGAGGTAAATGGCTGTCACAGGGAATGATAGACCTTAACTCAACCATGGTTGCTCCTGAGGCCACTCAGCCTCCACTTATAGTGATGGATGCAAGGATGTCGCCCATCACATTCTTGAGAATGGGGAAGACTTTGTTCTATCGCTAGAGGAGTCAGGAAACATTAACATAATACATCAGTTATCACATAACTGCTTTTTCCTGATGTGACCTGATGCCTGGGTGGAAATTAATAGCAACATAGCGTTGATGTATTCTGCATTTATGTAAAATTTTAAATTAAGCTAATTTAATTTTGTAGTCAATCTACAGAAAATTAATAGACAACAAGTTTTGAAAGATGCCCAAGTAAATCACTGCTTCTCAGACCTGTACACTTGTTCCTTTTATTTGATATTATAGTGAATATCTTGTGGGACAACACAGGGTGTTAACTTGGGCTTTTTGAACTTGTGTTGGGCATCTTTCCTTTTTCTAAACAACTGAACAGGTATTGCACCAATGTAGTGTTGCGCCTCTAAAAAGTCGGATGACTTGTGAGTGACACATAAAAAAATAATGCTCCAAATCAATGCAGCAGAAGCAGAGACATCCTGACTTTTAGTCCCTAGTACTGACAGTGGATCATACATTACCATATTTTTGTTACACGCTCCTTTCTAATAAAACTTGACGTCTCCAAGGCAAAGGTGAGACATCCCTGACTTGACAAAGCTTCCCTGTAGCCACAACAGACACTATGCTTTCACAGACTGAGCAGAACTCCTAGTCATAATGAAACATTTGTCTGCTAAATACAGTATTGAGCCCACGGACGTTAAGTGTTTACAACAGGTCAGCACTATGAGTGACTAAACTGCACAGCTGTGTGTACATAGCTTCTCCCTCAAAAAAGGTTTGGGTTTGCTTTCATATTCTCAACACTTGGGTGGCTAGTTACTGGGGGAAATAATCATCAAATTATGAGCACTTATCCATCATTAGACTGGCTGTAAGAGTCCCGGAGTAAATAAATCACAGCAATATAAACTGGCGGCAGCTAAAATGGTGAACAAAGTGTTTGAATAAAGCTGAGCACTGTAAGCCTGTTGGTGGGAGGTTTTTGGATTGTATGATCCCCAATTGCTCAGTGACTCAGTAAACTGTTTTACTTCCCTTAATTCAATGAAATTAGGAAATAAATGCAGGGAAAATATAAAGTCAGCGGCAGTAAAACCCTAAATGGCTTTAATCCAGCAGGCATATAAAGGCTGAGTTGAGGGTCCTGTTCTTTAAATGTAGCTTAACTAAATCAGGCTAATGTGCTTGTGCTGTTAGCTAAACTAATCCTGTTTATTCTCATGCAACTAAATTGGTTCTTTGAAAGCAGTTTTAGCATTGATTTTGTAAATCAATTGTAAATGCTGTCATCTTTGGTAACAGTGCGCTCTTATTTTGAAATACAGTGAAGGCAAAATCATGAGTGCATGCCATTACATGAGGTATGTGTGCTCAGAACCATCCCAGCATGCACTGAGGCATTCGATTAATTCATAATCTCATTTTATGTATGTTCATACACGCTTCCTGGTGTCATTGTGCTCCATAATGTTTCTACTGTTTTAGTCTATGAGTGATTTTGGTAAATGATTGGTGAGGTTCTTCCCATGGACTAGCAAAGCACTTTTAAGTAGAAATCATAAGCCTGTTATGACAATGAAACCTTACTAACATCACAAAAGCAGCTCTAATTGCATAAACAGTTTCCAAGAAAGTGACTTTTGCAATTAACCATTTAAAATATTTTAGTGTTCAGGGCAAAACAATAAGGATTGCCCAATTGCCCGGGGCAGGTAAAATGCCATGTTGGGTTGGTAAATTAAACACATTGTTTTCCTGGAGCTGATGATGGAATTAGAGAATGGGTAAGCAGTCTTGCTTTACTCTCATGTCTGTTGAGAGTGGCACATGCACAGTACCGATCAGCATTCGTGAAGAAGAAGAAGCAGAAGCAGATGAAGAAGATATACTATATAAATCCCTGAGGGGAAATTCTATGTTTTTCACCCTGTTGTCATATACACACAGATCACAAATAAACAGGACCTATACTTGCATTAACTAGAGTTGTCAGAGCAAGGGGCTGCCTTAGACAGAGCACCCTGAGCAATTGAGGGTTCAGTGCCTTGATCAATGGCACCTCAGCTGTGCCTAGAAGGCAAACTAGCACCTCTCAAGCTACCAGTCCATGCTCCATACTTGGTCCGTATGGAGACTTGAACCAGCAGCCCTCCAGTTCCCAGGCCAAGTCCCTATGGACTGAGATACTGCTGCCCGAAAATGGAGGCAGCTATAGGCAAAGTTTATAGGCTAAAGCACAATTATTTAATATATTTAATTATCCTGGAAGCAGAAGTTCAGTTGGGTGGCATTAGAGGATACGGGTGAAACCCAACTATGTAATTCACAGTTTGCCGCAAGTTTGAGAGCAACTGCTGCTAAATAAAACTTTTTGTACAGGGGCAAGTAAAAACTGACTGAGGGCGAGCAGTGACCCACTTGGCCAACTCAGCAAGTGAAAAAAATCCTGGTGTACATATGCAAAATCCCTATTTTAATGTCCAGTTAAATGCCATACATTCTAGTTCCTTTGGCCTTTTTTTTAAGTTGGAATCTTTTAGTTTAGTTCATGGCTTTTTGCTTGCAGTTCCTCAAACTAAATTTGGTTTGGTTTGGTTCTTTTTTTGTTTACAAACTTTGAGCTAATTTGTTTTTTATTAATTATTATTTTATTCTATTATATGGTGAAGTTTTCATTATGATAATGTAACTGGCCCTTCGCTAAGTCCCACCCCTGGACGCAGACTGGTCAATGATGTGGTGGTTCACTTTTACACTGTGATCTGTAGCCTATAGTTCGGCTTTAGCTTCTAACTATCTTTGTCTTTTTAACCTGTTGTTGCTGCTGAGTCAGTTTGACATCCTGGATATCCTTCAAACACAGACTGTACACCCCTCTGTCTGCTTTTCTCTGGAATCACTGTTTCATCTTTAAAATAATATGATAATATTTCTTCAGCGAGTGCAGTTAGTAACAGTGTGGGCTCCATTCTTACTCCGACAGCTTGTTGGACCATCACAAAAGGGAGGGACATAGAGAAAAGTCAATTGTGATAATCAACACTATTCATTATGATTCTCAGAAAGCGAGCCATAAGCATTTCAAAGTTACCTTCATGTATGTGGTTAACAGCAAACCGTCTGGGTCATGACCCAGCTAACTGTCAAGAAGCTTTTGCAGGTTTGGTCTGAATGAATTGTTGCTATGACGACAGTTGAGAAACATAAATTAAGACATCTTTGAAGGATCAAAAAATCCTGACTCGTATCAAATCACCAACACTCTCATCCGGATAACTCTATTATCCATGCATGAAGAACGGGGCCCAGTGGTTTCCAAAGCCTGCTCTGGGGAACAACAGTTTTCCTCCCCAGACAGAAACATTTTCTCAGCACCCATTATTACCAAGTTACAGAAAATCAGTTTGGTACTGTCCAAAACAGAAAACAGGGGAAAGTCTGGGCTCCCTCAGCTATATGCACGCCTATCAGATTTGTGGCTGGAGAGTGTGATAAAGTTTATCCCTATCCAAACCAAATCAAATGACTTCTCAACACTTAGTTCACACTTTCCCCAAAGTTGCTCCATCGTTCTCAGGATGTGAAAAGGGATAAAGCACATTATAAAGTCAAATGAGCAAGATGAATTATGTTGCGGTGAGAGTAAACTAATCCTGTAATAAAGTTTTAGAAGGAAGGAAACTTTTACAATTCATTGAGAATGTTTAAACATAGCCTTCACTGGAGAAAAACCCACATATATTGTAAATAAGGCAAGAATAAGATATCTTTTACCGAAAGAAACATAAGGCAAAGTACCAAAACTGAGCTAACTTGAGCAAACAGTGCACCAACTGATAATGCCCATTTTGACAACAATAAATGTCAAGAAATACAAAATATAGACGTTAGCTGAAATACAACCTTTCCAAAATAAACTGTTGGGTTCCCCATGAACAAATAAACATCAATACGTTAGAATAATACCATTAAATATGACTTAGTCTGTATAAAGTGTGTATTTACCGGGTGCTGACACACTTTTAACACACCTTCCGTTAATATAATTAGTGTGTGATGCTGTGAGGTTAGTTAGAGCAGCCTACCGGTGTACTGCAGGAGAAACATTGTCCTCTGTCGCAGATAGGGAGATGTAACAGTCCCACCGAGGAAAAAGTCTCTCAGTCCGGTATTAATCCGTGAAGTCGTGGAGTTTCTCGGCCGTTACGCTGCGGTAGAAGAGAAAAGACGGTGCTCCTAGTCGGTACCGTTTGTCTGCCAGCCAACGGTGAACGATTACCACCTGCCTCACAGCCAGCACGCGCTATGCTAATCAAGCTAGCAGAACCGTAAGTAGTATTTCCGGTTGTGATTTTCAAAATAAATCCAACGGCGAAGCCTGTGTGCTCTGTTTTTTCAGACTGCGACACATTAAATTTGATTTTTACGCGTCAAATGACAGAAAATATCTGCTGATAATTACAATAAACATTATTCTTGAAAAGGTGCTTGCATGTGAAGTTTGCTCGAATATTTGCTGACTTTTCTTCCTCTTTAAGAGACTGTGCTTTTAATTTGAAGGCACGTGCACTTCACTTACCCGTGTTACACACTGTAGTAGGTGTAAATGTCATACCCCCATGGGTGCAATGTACCATGGAGTGAAGTGACTTGCAGAGTGCAGTTCTTCACACATGATAGGCTTTTATGAATACAGTGACTAAAGTTGAAGAGAGGGATTGATGGAACCGCCGGAAAACGGGCAGCATCACCTGCCTGTGAACACCAGACCAAAACTGGTCACAGCAGCAGTGAAAAAAACACATAATTAACAGAATTTGACACTGATATTGTAAGGCCAAAATTTTAAATGTCCCTTACATATGGGACATGGACCTGGCTGTGCTTAAGGCTAAAATCACACTTATGAAAACAATAAACAAATCCAAATTCTTCATTATTGTTCACACAGCATCTTCAGCAGGTATCAGTGTGTATGAGCATAGTTCATTCGTGATCTTGGACAAGGTAGTTTGACAATATAAGTTTCAGCTCAAGGACCACTTAATGGATTTTTCCAGAGCTTTCAGACACACTTAACAGTCTCCCTCATGATTGAGCATGCTCGGTTGTCACAGAGAATGTGCTTGAAAGCTTCTGAAAAAGCTTGTAAGAGGATTTGCGTTACAATTTTGACACCATGGCTATTTACAGTAGAGTATCCCTTAAAGATACAGTGTGTAGGATAGAAGGAGATACATTGGCAGAAATGGAATATAATATAATAAGTATGTTTTCTATTGTGTGTAGTAGCCTGAAAATAAGAAGAGCTGTGTTTTGGTTGCCTTAAAATGAACCGTTTATACCTACAATCCTTGTTCTTTGAGATTACCAAGTCGCATTGTCATGTTTCGTAGCCCCAAAGGGACAAACCAAACATTTATGCATCAGACACCAGATTTAACTGTCCCTCCACAATGAGCACTGTCGGAAAAACACTGATTTTTTTAAGATGAAACTGCTTCACTAGTGTTTTGACCATTTTAAATCACTAAATCTTTTTGTTTTTGAGAGGAGGAAACCTCTGCGTTTAATTTGGCTCCTGGTAAAAACCTGCTGAATGTCTGGATCAGAAATAAGGTGAATACACATTAAGTTATCATAGAAAAAAGGTTAGCACACATTATCTGGTGCTGGGATAGCAGTCAAAACTGATGAGTTGAAAAAATGATTTGTAATGTGAACCTGCTTTATTTAGTGTGTTTACCTGTTTAAATTACTGGGTCCATTTGTTCTGAAGAGGAGGAGACCTCTGAGGATAATATGGCCTCTGAAAAAATCCTCCTGAACAATGAACACTGAAGGAAATCTAACTAGGACATGTTTTAGTTGGTTGTAAACTGCAATCTTCACTGCTAGATATCACTAAATCCCCATAAATCTCACACACTGTATCTTTAAAGGTCCATTGTGTGAGATTTAGTGACATCTAGTGGTGAGGCTGCAGATTGCAACCAGCTGAAACTTTGCCTGAGTGCCAAGTGTGTAGGTGAACTATGGTGGCATGGCGGTCTCCATGGAAGTGATCCTGCTCCATATTTAGGTATAAATGTCTCACTGTAAGGTAATGAAAACACAATGATCCTTAGTTTCATGTCTTTATACACTAACAAGAACATAGTTATGAATATATACCAACCAATAAATAAATCATACTCCCTAAAACTTAAGAAGAGGGCCTACTTCACATCTACCTAAGTCATCAAAAAATAAAGATAGAATAAAATGACATCACAGAATGCCTTAAAAATCTGATATAAATATAGGACAAAATACATCAGTTGCTTAGTTTTATGAAAAATCAAATTATTTGTTATATGTGTCTGAGGACATTATGGAATGTGTCACAGTTGTTTTTCTGTGTCCTCATTAGCACTCCTTAACCTAGTTCAGACCAAAATTGGAGGAGATGCAGGCATCTATTTTTGTGACTGTGCATGTAGAATGGGGGTCATAATAACAGCAGTCCTCAGGTGAATTGTGTTTATTCATACATGCTCCCTTCTTGTGTCCATGTGGTATTTCGGCATCTTATTTTTTAGATTCTTAGCTTAGTTGAGGAGAAATTCATGCAGGAACAGAGCAGAACACGAGCGAACCACATTTTCCTTTTACACGATTAACATGTGCACTGTGAAGGTGGTTACATCCCCCACTGAAGTCAGATTCTGGCTGGTGGAAGTGCTCCTCCTGCACCCAAACTGTCCCTGTGCTCTACCACCAACGTCTGGTTGGCTCTTTGCCTAATATCACTGAGCCGTTTGCTGCACTGGGAAACTGTTCTCCAAGCACCTGAGCAACACATGTTAACCAAGTGTGTTATCTCCTTCCAAGTCGGCTTAACATCATCTGCCCTCAGCGGCCCATTTCGTGTACTGTATGTTTGCTTGTGGCCATTCTGCGCCTTCAGTTTTGTCACAGGAGGAGCTTTTGTGGATTCTTCCATCACCAAAACAGCAGCAAGAAAGGAACAGCAATTTAGTTTGACAACTATTCTCCTATCAAAGATCTTTTGGCGGGGGTGATTGTTGTATGTCTGACGGCAGTGGAGTGGTTGCATTGGTTGATACTGTGCCAAATTACACACCATTTACAGCCCTGCAGGGTGGGTGAAATAATTTGAAAGCCTTTCAAAGTGGAAAGTTAGATAAATGCTTGGGCAACAGATGACCCACTGTTTTCTTTTTACCCTGTCTGAAATGGTGTTTTGTTCCAAGGTGATATTCTGCATTTAGCAGCTGACATCATTGTCTCCTTGAAAAACGATTTTGAATTACTGTCCCTTCACCCTGGAACTAGAAAAAAAGGTTAGAGATAAACATAACACCAGACATATCCTAAAGTGAAGAAGGATTAGGCACACGGTGCATCCATCATGCCCGGCAAAGTGTTCTCAGCATTGATTTTAAAACAACTTTGACATAATTGCAGAAATAAATGAGGCATAGGCTGTTCACAGAGCATTAATACTGATTTCTCAATCTGCACTTCCATTTTCTGGATATGGAAATGACATGTTTAGAGCTAGTCTGATTATATGTCACAGCAATGCTGCAAATGAAATATATTAAAGTAAAAACACTGCTGTATGAATACATTAAAAGTCGAAGAGTGCTCTAACTTAGTATATTATGTAAACAACAAGTAATTTATCATATGCCTGGGGACAGTGTAGCTTAAAATAGTTTTTTTTGCCATATGTAGTGCACAAAGGGGAAAATAAAATAAGAATAGTGGTTTTGAGCTCAACTGGTATTTTTCTACATGGTGTTATAACTTGTTTGACCTTTCATACTTATAAATTTGTAATGTGTACATCAGCTAGCAGACCTTGTTGGCTCAGAATCTCCTGTAGCTTTAAGAGCACTTGAAATTAGCAAGAAATTACATATGCATATTAAAGGTAAGGGCATTTATTTAGAAATCTACACAGAGGTTCGATTCGATTCGTTCGCCTTCCTCCGCTTATCCGGGTCAGGGTCGCGGGGGCAGCAGCCTCAGCAAAGAAACCCAGATAGACCTCTCCCCAGCCACTTCCGTCAGCTCTTCCAAGGAAACCCCAAGGCAGAGGTAATTTAGTTTATGTTTTATAAATTTTCTCACTGTGAGTAATGGGATGAAGCAGAATAGCTGAGTTTATGACTGTTAAATAACTAAAAATGTTTTCTTCTTATTTATTCCTGAATTTTTAATGTATGGAGAAAATATTAAAGATTTAAAACCTTTGGGGGCCCTAAAGTCCTGAAAAGTGATATTTTTATTTTGTGTGCACAACTAGTCATCCAAACAACTGGAAACAACTTATTATTATGTGGGAACTAATTATTATTTTGTGAGCACAAGTTAATTAAAGCCCCTACAAGGAACTTTAATTTTGAGTTGATTTTGGCGACCCTGTGGACAAAAGCGATAGTGTTTTGCCAGAATGAAGCCTACATTTCCCATGAGCTCTAGCGCGTATTGTCGTAAAGACGCTTAACTGGCTCACGCATGTGTTTGTTTTGGGGATGAATGAAACAACAAGACAGGAAAACTTTGCCCCTGCTCCTATCGGGGATCCCAGCTCACCTCTGCCGTGCCCCAGCTCCACCTCTCCGGCGTAAGCACCACCGCCGCCGGGGTAAACGCAGCGGTCGGCTGGTAAGGCTGAAGGCCTGTTTGGCGAGCACTTCCACGGCTTCTTGGACTGAGTATGGAGCGGTGCCTAGCCTCTTTATTTCTCGGCACTCACTGGACCCTGTCGACACCTGGCTGGTACCTGTCGTAGGCCCGGATGAGGTGTTCCAGCCCCGTGGCCCCTGCTCTCCTCGTCCCCGCTGGCGCGTGGTGAATCTGCGTAACCTGCGGCCTCTGTGTGTGGCTCCCCGGACAGCTAAAGCCGTGGACCCGCCGGCTCCTGCCAGGATTGGGCTGGTAAATGCTAGATTGCTAGCGAACAAAACGTTTATCCTGAAGGATTTTCTGACTTCTCGAGGATTGGATTTTCTCTGTGTGACTGAGACGTGGCTGACTGTTGGTGAGTCCAGTGCTTTCACAAATCTTTTACCTGATGACTGCTGCTATTTTAACTCCCCGCAGACGTCGGGTCAAGGAGGAGGAATAGCTACTATTCATGTGAGTCACTATAAATGTAAGCAGCTAGGTAAGATGACGTGTGCCGTCTGAGTGCCGTAAATCGTTTCGTCCTGGAAGCGACCTGGGACGGACCTGGACACAGTTTCCTAAAGGTATGGATATACA